CCCCAAAACCCCAAAACCCCAAAACCCCAAAACCCCAAGTCCACTAATACAAGTTGAACTACCTTATTCATGAATATTAATAAATTATGACTCAGCATTGTTGATATTGAGGATCCTATTTAGGCGGGTAATCACTCTCATGAATCTATCTGGGGACTCTAGGCTACTAACAAAGCTAGTATCCATTGCTCTTTCACGCATCTGTATGAAGCTTTCATCTTCTTTAGTAAAGTAACCCTCTGGAGCAATTGCTACAGAGTCTTCACGTATATAAGCATTGGTTTGGTTTCCATCTTTCTTGTATTGTATGTAGAGTAGAGCATTTCCATTATGATTTTCCATATGAAGACTTCTAGATGAGCTAGACATGTTAGTCTTCTTCAGAATTTCTCCTTTACACCATTTCAGGCTGTTCAAGTCGAGAATATCTATTTTTCAGCCTGGGTCTGATTTAAAAGTGAGTTTATTTCTTCTTGAAATCAATTCATTCTTGAATTCTCTCAAGATTTTTCTTGACCTGATCTTGATTGGTAATTCTTGAATTGAGCATCAATATCATTTTGTCTATAGAATGTGAAGAATATTGTATTTGTAGTGTCTCATCAATATCATCAGTCTGGACTTGCTCTTCACATTTCAGTCATTTAAAGTCCTTCAGAATGTATTTATAAGTACAGAAAATGCAATAGGAATGTCCACAAGTAAGTGTTCTAGAAAGGAAGAGGAGATTATCACATTTAGTTCATCAAAGATTGGAAAAGTCCACTCCTTCCTTTATTTCTTTATTATTTTTCTTCACAATTTTATCTTTTTCTTGATCAAAAGTAGCAACTTCAAGGTCTTCAACTTCCTTAAGGTCAGTTTCTGATGGAGAAGCTGTGTCAAAATCCAGTTGTTTTGAGCATAGCTTAAGTTCTCTTTTCTTAAATCGCTTCTTAAGGTCATCAAAGGATAGAGTTGTGTTACATAATTGGCCTTGAGTGTCGGGATCATGGAAGTTAATAAACAGATGCTTTCCTTCATCAGGCTGGGTAGTCATAATATCTTGTTCTTGTCTATCTGACCTACGACAAATGCCCTTGATGCTTGAAAAGATTTTTAGGTTAAAAAGTGATTCCATTTGCTATGATAATAATTCAATTTATATATTTATAAAAGGGGTTTTGGGGTTTTGGGGTTTTGGGGGAG